AAGCAGATCCTGTTGAATTTTGAACTTGTAGCCCCACCAAGGGTGCTATTTAAAAATGAGTCTCCACCTGACCAAACAGCAAACATGAGGGCAGCCAACTTGGTGTGAGCTACCACCTGCCTCCTATGGAGAGATGTGTGTCTGTGGTGGAAGATTCTCACTGGCTTCTGTCAGCCAGCCAGAAGTGGATTATTGTGGAGGACCAAGAGTCAGACCCTGGGCTTTGTCAGCTGCAGAGCTGGTTGGCAGCCAGCAGCTTGCTGTGCTACTATCCTGTGCCTCAGCTGAGGCTCCTCTGACAAATGAAACAGCAGTGATGATGGAGAGAGAAGTGGCAGCAGCACTAGAAGAAGATGCCCCTCAGATTCACATTTTCTTGGTGAGCCAGAAGATCCTGCAGAGTCTTCTGGGGATGGAAGTGGCAGTGCTTAGCTCTGCTACGACATGAGATGCATTCCCTCCCTTCTGTGATGACTAAAGTGGGAACTGGGCTGTGTTCCAGACCTGTAGCCTGTGGCATTGGGCTGAAGAGATAAGAATTCACAGAAATGTAGAGCACCATAAAGTGTACGAGAAAAATTGAAATGACAAAGTTCTTACAGTAGAACTTCCATAACTGGAAGCGTTTCAAACAGTTTCATCCTCCCTGATCACTGCAGTCAGCATTCATGCTCCCTTCTTATCTTCTCCTGCCATGTCTACAATTATCAAAAATGTTTGTTGAAAAAACTGCCCTTGGTTGGGTTTTCTGTTCTGTGTGAAATCCTTCCAGCCAAACTGAGTGTGCACATGGGGATTATCTCCCAGAGGTCTGAGCAGTGGCTTCTCCTGTCTCCATATCTCAGACACTGGTTGTATATGGAGCAAAGTTTGATGTTTACAGGCACCTGCAGTCCGGGCAAGCCACGGTGAGTGTGCATCCACAAAAGCCACACAGTTGGTCTAAAAAACAAGATATTGCTTGTTTGCAAATGCCTGATGCAGAGTTTTGCATATGCAAAGTGTTTTGAAGGCATTCTGTCCTACTAAGGAACAGCTTGGGTGCTGAAATACAGCTACTACTTCCTTGGCAGAGTTTCCTGATGTATGAGGGAAAACTCAAGATGAGCTGGGAAAACATTGTTATCCTCCTGTAATCCTCCCCCCATGCTTGCTTTTCATGGAGTAGTTCTGTCTTGTAGTAAGTTGATCATTATGGGGAAGGAAGTGGCACTTGGCACAGAGATGCCCTTAATCCTTCAGTGTGGTCCTTGTGTCTTCAGCAGGGATGAGGATTTCACTGCTAGCCAGCAATGGGGATGGTGCTGCCTGGCTGAGTTACTGTGCCACTCGTGGTGCTCAGGAGCCAAACCTGTAGATTTCCACTCTTTTAAAGCCATCAGATGCTCTCCTTTGCCAGTGGATAAGTTATTTGACTTCTTAGGCCATTAAAAAAATTATCTTAGTGTCATATGTCACAGTTTCAAAAGAGCACTGCTAATCAACAGGGCTCTTTACAATTCAACAAGTTCCTTCAAAATTAACCTGTCTAAACAGCAGGAGGGATGAGCAAGGTGTGATCTTGGCTCTATCACCAGATATCATAATTCTCATTTCTTCCTGCCCTTCCTAGTGTGGCTGCTGGTGGGGACAGGGGTGGGGACAGGGGTGGGGACAGGGATGGGGACAGGGATGGGGACAGGCCGAGCTCATCCCTGCGCTCTCTCACACAGGGCTTTGAATTTCCTGCTCTCGCATGCCATTGGTCGAACCTTAGCCCCGCCCAGCTCACTGGCCAATGGCACGGGGGGCGTTGCTGGCGCACAGCGATTGGCTGGGGTGCCCTGTTTGGGTTTGAATTGACCAATCAGGTTCAGCCCTGGGGATGGGTCACTCCTGGTTCTCCAGCGCTGCTCCCTTGGGTCTGGCATGGACGAAGTGTGGCTGTCACGCCCTAGAAAGCAGGATTGTTGTTCCCAACCACAATTTGGGGATGCTTTGCTGGAACACGCTCAAATTTCTATGGCAATCCTTTTGCTCTTGTTTTTCTTGTTCTTGGTGCTGTGGCTTGGAGTGGAGGAGCTCAGGAGTAAATGTGCCCATGTGTTTGTGTCTGCTCTCCATCCCTCTCCGTGTTCCTCTGCTAGCAGAAGAGAAGGGGAAGGTTAATATATAAATTTGCCACATCAGGCTGATGTGATGAATGCCATTAGACTGACAGAGCTCCTTATGACAATTCAATAGGTGGAATGGATTCAGTAAATTTTCCAAGCCCTGTAGTTTGGAATACATTCCACACTCCTCTGTTGCTGGCCTTGGGCATTGTGGCAGTGCCAGCTGAGGGAAGCCTGTGCAGCTCTGTAATTGTCATTCCATGGTGGTGGCATTTACATTCCCAGGTGTAAGCAGTGCTATCTGTTAGAAACACAATGCAGTTTTTTGCTTTTATGTTGTAATAGGAATAAATCCAACCCTCATAAAGGCTTCTGTATTACACATAGCCTGTTTTCTGTAATGTATGCATGCACACTGGCAAGTGTTTTTCCTGTGCACTGCACAATACTACAAGACTCTGCCTTATTTTAGTCTCCAGCAGTAGAAAAATCACAGCAGGTTCATTAGGAAAGGCCATAAATAATTTTTCTGGAGTGGGAGTGCAAAGGGGATGAGGAGGAATGGGAGGGTGAAACAACATTGACATTTCTGAGTGAATGGATGGTAATAAATGAATGTTGTAGCAAGAGACAGAGTGATACTTTTCTCTTCTTACTGGCATTCGGTGATGCTTTGAAGACAGCAGGAAGCTTTACTTTGAATCCTGAGCATATCAAAATTAGATAATTTTTTTTTTTTGCCTCCGAATATACCTTATCCTCGAGCAGTTTTTATTAGAGATGCTAATTGCCCAGACCCTGACTAATGCAGGCTGCACTGTGCTGCTGGATTAGTCTCCTCTTTGCCTTCTGAAATCAGGCAAGGCAAGAATTAAAGCAGGAGATGTAAGTACCCTTTTAGTGCTTTAATACTGCAAATGCCATTGCAAGTGTAATTGAGCCTGAAGCCAGGGCAGCCATGGGCAGCTTGCACAGAGCTTTATTCCCTATTAGCACACCTGAACCAAGGGTGCTGGACACAACACCCTGTGCCAAGGAGCTGCCTACAAGTTTTTGTTCTCTCTCTCTAACAGACATGGAGTTGGATACTCAATTTTAGGGATGTGTATCTGTATGTGTGAACTGGGCCACAATTTCATTGATAGATCAGTTTTATTAATGACATATTTAAATGGCAGAAAATGGAGTGGAGTAGCTGTCCTGCAGTTGATGTCTGTGTGTTTGTGCCCTTCAGATGAGTGGGGGATGATGCCTCCACCCCTGTCCCACAGCCAGAAGCTGCTTGGCTGTGTTAGTGTTGCATCTAGGATAAAAGGGACTTGAAAGTCTCAGTGACAGCCTGCTGCATGCTTCCTCCTTTGTTGCTTTAAGGCAGCCTTCAGTTTTTCCTTTTAATTTTCCTGCATAAATCTAATGTCTTAAAATATCAACACTTCCTAATGACTTTTTTTTTTTTCTCAAACTGAGCCTTATTTCCCTCTAACCATCTTCAAAAATCCTCATACTTGTCAGATTTATCTGTTTCAAGTATTTAGATGCCTCTTTAATAGATTAACTGTTTGACTATTTTCTTTTATGTTTCCTTCATTGGTGAAGAAAGAAACTATAGATTTATTTTCCCAGGCAAAAATAAGTCTATGGGGCAGCACTGTTTATGCTGGATAAGAGCCTGGGAATCTTAACTGCTTTTTTCACAGACTGTAAGCACAACTAACTTAATGTCTCTTTATGGATTACATTGAATTGTAACTCTTCAGTGTTGCTGATGCTTATTTAGATGATTTTTTTAAGGATGCCGAATGATTCCGTGTACCATGCACGATATATTTTCATTGTCCTTATAATTTATATTTTAATGTACTTTTGCTTTTTTATAAGCTCTGCCAGTTTAACTGATGACTTATCTTGCTGCTTTTTTTATATGGGGAGAATAATTAAAGATACAGCAGTATCTCGTGCACATTCCACAGAGTTTTCTCTCGCTGGATTTGCTCCAGCATTGCCATTTTACTGTTGTACCCCCGAATCCTGTACTTGCTGACTGTTTCTTTGTTGGTGTAGGGGTGACCTGGGAGAAGCAAATTGTGTGCTGTGCCCATTCCTGGGTTTGGAAGGACCCTGCTTGTCCTTGCTGGTGGGACTGTGTGAATCCATCACTGTGCGTTCAATCAGATTAGCCTCGTCTCAAGTGGGAGTTCGGGAAGTCAGCAAAAGTTTGGGTGGCTGGGTTTTATCCGAGAATGATTGCCTGTCTTATCCTCCTCTAATTCAATAGTTCACAGGACATCTTTCAAGTTTCAGGGCAAGAGAAGAGATTTTAAAGGAGTTCCTCAACTTGCCAACCTCGGGCACAACTCTGGCTCCAAGAAGGTTTGAAATGAGTGCTTTTGTTCACAGCACCTTTGCTCTGGGTGCAGGGAGTGGTGAGTGTGTCAGAAATGCAAATTTTCAGAGGAAATGGGATCAGTCAAGTACTGACCAAGGTGTACATTTGCTTCCTAGAGCAATTGGAAATGTGAATTGGCTTTTCTAAGTCAATTACTGTTAATTTGGGTGGCTTAAATGCCTAATGGCAAGCAGAACTTCTTGTACCCCTGTTGAGGTGAGTAGCTGTTGAAAGAGTAGAGGATTTTCATGGGGTTCTAAAAAGAATTCAGATTTTTTTTTTTCTTAACTGTGTGCTGAAGTGTATCATATTCAAGTCTAAGTGGCTGAGCTGCCACAGGGACTGTTCTCATATTTGTCACTAATTTGCCATTTATTTTAACTGATATATTCTGTAACCTCTTGCAGTAGCAGTGCCTGTGATAGCAGGCACGATAAACTGTGTTTTAGAGATGCATCTGAAATACTCTTTGCATCTGGAGAGCTCTACAAAGCAGTCAGTAACCAAATTGTTCATCACTGGTGATTCCAGCTCTGTTGAAAGCAGGAGCCTTACAGGTCCAGGCTCAGGTATTTTCACACTGGTTTTAGAGAGTCTTTAGGAATGAATAAAGTCTCTAAAATAAAGCCAGCAGGTCCGTGCTGGCATTCTGGGAACCTTCTTTAGCAATGCAAACAGTAGGATCTTGCTGACATTAATGACTTGCTCCTACCTGGAACTTGGTTTGCACAACATCCCAGCTGAAGGCCGAGTGAGAGAGAGGAAGGAATGATTGATCAAGGCTCAGTTGTGGTGAGAGCAGTTTGTATCCTACCAAAATTTATTCCTAGAATTGCAATCTGTTTCCTCAGTCCCGGTTTGAATAGAGAGAATTTGGAGAACAAAAGTACATGAATAGCTATCTCTGTGCTTATTCAGGGCTTGCAATTTACCTTGAGCCTTTCAGATGAAAGATGCTATGAAAGACTCCAAATACCCTGTAAACTAAAACAAGACCTGCCCGGAAGGTGTAGCAGAGCTAAGTGAGTTAATATCTGCTCCGTGGGCTCAGTTGAAGCCTTCAGGACAGATGCTGAGCTCCCAGAAATCTGAGTTGGCTTTGGGGGAGATGGGTGAGGGGAAGCAGAGCTGTGCAGGCACTGCAGTGAGCCAGGTGAGTGCTGAGAGTGAGCTTTTATGTTCTGATTGCTCTTTATCACCTGCCATTTCTGGGGAGTCTTCCCACTGAGTTGGTATTAGCTGTATAAAATATGTCTTCAGGAAGTTGTACAAACGTCACAGGCTCCTTTTGGTTTTGCTTCTGAAAAAGCTGCATGCTGGGCAAAGGAAGACGAAGAAGTGTGTGTTTGCAAACTGTGGCAGAGAAGAGAATAAACCCATATACAGAATTAAAAAATCCTGTTTAGCTTCTTAAGAGAAGCTCATTTGGAAACGATTTTTGTTAATCAAGGTGATGCCCCTCGTGCTGTCATTTTTGTGGCACTGTTTCAGTAGACAGGTATCTTTATAAATTCAGCAATATGCCATATTCAAGAGCTCAGCCATGTGAATTTGGTCTTCAGCATCCCCAGTGATTATTTCACTGCTTCAAGTGGTGTAAATTTCTTATTAAGGGTGGTGGTGGTGGAAATAATGTTGCTGAGGTTTTGTGGTTTGCTCCATTTTTTCCCCCCCTTCATTGTGATTGGACAGAGGAGAAAACTTGCCAAGTTTTTTAACTTGTCTGATTTAGCCTTGCAGACATTGCTCCTTGTTATGTTGTTCTCTATTACATTAAGAAGCTCTTTAGGAGCTGGTATCTTATCCACAAGGACACTTGTAATCAAGTCCCTTTCAATCTTTTGGATAAAAAAAACCCAGAGTGATCTGTTGCCTACTCTCTCATTGTGAGACACTTTCTGGCCCTAAAACAAATATTCTGATGCTTTCCATAAGATCTTGACTTCTTTTTATTGTGTTTTTTCAATATTGTCAGTGAATGTGTTGGTTTTAAATGTTCCAGTATCTGTCATATGCAGTGGTGGGAAGAGCTCCTGTTCCATAAATCCAGGAAAGCCTTAAAATTGCACAGGTCACTGGTGCTTTATTACTGGTTTTGTGCTTTATTACTGGTATTGTTACTGAGATATGAACCATTAATCCCTCTCCACTTCTCTCTGTACCAAAATTTCCCATTCCACAGATAATCCTGCCCTTTCTAGAACAGCCCTGCCTGGAATTGCCCTGGAATATCTGTTGTGGGAGTGGCTGTGTCCCTGTGGAAGCTCTCCAGGCTGCTGGGTGGGACAAACCTTCCTGAGCAGCATCTCCCAGCTCACTAAAGGCTTGTGGTCGAGGTGTTGAGCTTTACCCCAGGCTGCTGATGAACACAGTGATATCTGATAAACTGAGCTGTTCCTTGCTGGAGAGCCCTTGACAAAACTCTGATCACAGCTCCTGACAACCACTGTGGAGCAATCAACTCCCTATTCCTTACTCTGTCTTCATCTCCTTATAGCTTACAATATCTACTAGGGAATTGTGTGTATTGTTAAATGAGGCACCTTAAAGCACTCAAAACCTCACATCTGTCAAGGTCAGCTTGATGAAGGGATATCAACCCAACCTTCCATAAATTCCTGTCCCATAATTTTCCCTCAGTTGCATAGCAGGACACGTTTTTCCCTTTTTTGCTTAAGATTTAGCCCAGAACAAACCAGGTTTTATGCAGCTGAGTCACTTCCTTTGCCTTACATGGATATTGGTATGATATTATCATTCTTCAGAAATGTATTAAAATTAGCACCAGCATGTCAACCATGTCCCAGGGTGCTTTCAGCGAGTTCCTGTTATCCTTGGAGTTGTTCTTGATTGCAGCTGCAGCATCAAGTACTTTGTCTTTCTCAAGTGATACAAGTATATCCTCCTCCTTCACTCAAAATGCAAACCAGAAATATTTATTGAACTTTTCTGTCATTATTAATAATTTTGCCCTTCTTCTGCAGCAATGGGCCCACACCAATGATAAAAATCTCATTGCACTTTGAAACAACAACTCTTTGTCATACTTAGCCCTTCTGCTGTGGGTTTTCCCTGGTGTCTTTTGATTTTCTGACAGTTATTCTCTATTTTACAGTCTTGTGTCCATTGACTGTCATCTATTAGTTTGTAATAATCTGTTTCCCATGCCTGCTGTGAGGAATGTTGGCTCCATGTTAACCCCATCCGAGGTGATAAGGATAAATATTTTTTTTTAGATAATTGAGCATTGGGGCAACTCTGTGACTGACCTATTGCATGTGAGCCACCTGTGATTTAGCCAATGAAATCTGATGCTTATTTTAGATCAAATCAACTTCTAATTTTTTTTCTAGTGTTACCTAAGAGAATTAATTTTAAATTCACTGGGATTTATTGGAAGCTTAATGCTACCTTTGAGTCTCTTTAAACTCCCAGCCTGATTTCTTTTTTCTAAGTGTCATGAATATATATAAGTGCTCTTGACTTTGTAGGAGAAGCTGCCTTTGGTATTTCTAACAAAATTGTAACAATCCACTTGTAGAAATTGTGGGGTTTTGGTGCTAAAGTGGAATTGTGTATCATCCAATGCTATGGAGCACAAAATGTGTGCCAGACAGAACTGGATTGTGTTCTAGGCCTGATGCTGTGTGCTTCTTATTTTCAGGGACATGGCTATTTAGGATTTGGAGGGGGAAAGATAGTAGATATTGCAGAGAGCTCAGGTTGCACCAGCTTGTGATCACTGGGAATGCTTAATTTGATGTTCTTGCTGAGTGAACTGAATTTCTATAAACTTTGCTATGGTTGTGCCCTCAAGTTCAGAGGAAATCTTGTCTGTTTATCTGCAGAGGGAAGCAGAGCTGGAGACTTCTGCCTTGTATGAGCTGTGTTGCTGCTGTTTGACATGGACAGAGAAATTTAATCTTTGCCTTGCCTAAGCTTTAAGGGTAAAATTAGTTCACCTGTCATGTAAGGGAAACTTCAGTAGTATTAACCACTACTCTGGGAAGGCTATGAGAGAATGTAATGGGGGTGTCATGTACATGAAAGTGCTGGACTACATAACCTGCATTTTATTTTTCCCCCCATTTTCCCAGTGGGAGTTCTGTTGAGAGGGCTAAAGGAGGGTAAATCCAGTCCTGGCCTAAGCAATAAGGGTGAGGTGAAACACTTCCTAACTTGCCACTTGAACATGTCTTGCAATTAGTAAACCCTTCCCATGTGAGATTTCCCTGATTACACAGATTTTGAAAGCTGTGCTTTTACAAATTCACTTGTTAAGGTATTGCTTTTACTGCAGACTGAACAGGTATATTTCTGGCTCTAGCAGAAAGCAATTACTGCAGCTACAAAAACACTGAGTATTGAACTAGAATTCTCAGCCTGAGAATTTCTGGACCAATTCTTTGTCTTCTGGTGAAGCAGAATTTGGTGGTGGTATACCAAGATGAATTGGATGTATGCTGTTTTGATTTTAAAACAACAAAAAAGCACTGCTAAATTCCCCAACCCTATAAAAATTTAAACTATAGTTTGAGACTTAAAGCAAATCAAGGTGGGTTTTGTTGGTATGGTGTAGAGTAGACTGGGTTTGTGGGGTGTTTTTTGGGTGGGTTTTTATGATCTTAATTTACTACAATGGTGTCTTACACTGATTTTTTTTTTTTTTTTTTTATGTATGAGGGCATGCTGGAGATTTGGTAGGAGACTGTGTGGTTTTTTTTTTTTAATTAAAGGTGAGGTGAAATCTTAGCTGAGGATGCTGTTTCTTGTTTAGGTGCCCAGTCTGAATTCAGTCTTGCATCCACCAAAACTGGTGGCAATTGTGGGCTCAGAACGTCATGGTTTCAAACAGCAGCATAGCCTTTGGTTACTTATAGGAATAGAAAAAGTGCAACAAACACTGAATGAATTCCCAAATTGTTGTGCAAACACTGATTTCTATATGTACTTGTGGAGTTCTTGCCTCCATTTCGCTCCTTTATGTGACTCTTGATTTTTCCCTGGGACTTTCATGGATTTTGCTTGGTGAGATATTTCAGCAGATAAACCAGAAATAGCTGATCTAGTGCAATTCCTGCTCAGAGTTAATGGAAGGCCAATTTTGGCACTGGAGTCTGCAAGGTTGTGGGGGTTGGCCAACCTGCAGTAGCCACAGACTTAAGGCTGTGGGAGAAACCTTTAGTTAGGGTGAGCCAAGTTAGAGAAGCAAGGACCCATGGGAGTGGATATGCTAACAAGACTGCCCATATAAGGTCATGTTTCCAGAATGTTCCCAAGTTCTCTTGCCTGATTGGTTGTCATTTGTCACATTGTTTTGCATATTCCTAATCCCGGTTTATGATTGGATCCTGCGGTTACTGTGCTGCAAAGAGAGAGAAAGGACAGCAACACACACGGAGCTCTCTGGGGAGAAAAGACCAATTTATTGTACAGACAGCCCGGATTTAAAGTGTGTCAGTGCAGCCAGGACAGGACAGGAGCTCATGGGACAATTGGGAAAAACATCCCTGGGACAGCACCTCAGGATGTGTCCCACGGGAAAGACACCAGGGGTTAATGTTGGTGATGAATTCCACTCTGTTTGTCACCATGTTCTCACCCTGGGAGACTCCTCCCTAACTGAAGCTGCAGTCAGCTTGTCAGCCTGGGAATGGAGCTGAGAGTCAGGAGAAATCCAGGCCTGGAAAGAATTCCCAAGCTGTGATTCCCCAGCTCTCTAAATGTGTGTGTCCACAGGATCCTGCCCTCAGATCCAATTCTATCCTATACAGTTAAGCTCCTGCCTGCATCTTGGGTTCTATAGTTCTACCCTATACATTAAGTGTTGTGGCTGGTGCCTGGGGGTCAGACCCTGGCTTCCACCCAACTTCCCAGATAGTGAGGTCCCAAAGGGACAGCCTGTCCTGGAGTCTGGGCAGTCTCAGCCACAAAGGTACCAATAAGCAAGCGAGGCCTGGGTTTCAGGTGAGCAGCTCTAACAGTGATTTCAGCTTAGCTTGCAAGGTACCTTGGCCAACGCTGGGATGAGAGATGGGAAGTGCTGTTAGAGATTCCACAGAGTTCTTTCTTGTCTTCTTCTGCAAAGGGTTCCAGTGACAGCAGCAATCTGCTGAACTGGGTAAAAGAAGGGGTTTTTATAGGGAAAGCGTGGCTTGGCAAAAGGACCAATGGTTTGGGGCTGAGGAAATATGACCAATAGTTTTACAAGGAGATAAAGCAGGGGTCTGAAGTGGGGAAAAGGCTTTCTTAGCCTAGTCACTGTGACTAAGCAATTCTTATCTAGGGAATGGCTCTCCAGGAAAGCCTTGCTGGGGTCCCTGCTCCCTCCACAGTTAAGTTCCTCCCGTTAAAAGGTCTTTGAAGGCTGTCCTATACTGTGTGTGATTTCTTCATCTGTTGGTGTATTTTGTTACCTTTATCTAACTTGTTTTTAAGCAACCTCATCAAACCTGTCCTTTTTCATTTGCCACAACTCCTGGTTGGCTGGTCCTGAGATCATGGAGCCAAACCACGGCAGAAGGTTTGAAGCCAGGTGTGGGAAGAAAGGTTGAAAGGATAGTACAGAAGGCAATCTCTCCTGAGCAATTACAGCTCTGCTGATTACTGAGGAGTGGAAATATCTGTGACTGCCCAATGATGTTGGGTGTTATAAAAGAGTGGGCTAGCTCACTCAGAGTTGCAGTTTGGGTGAGAGGTTGGGATGGGCTCCTGCTGGCTGTGCTGTGAGGGGTAAGGGACAGATAAGGTAAGATGCTGTGTGAGGGACAGACAGGGTTAGGCAGCCAGGTAAGGGACAGCTGGGGTTAGCCAGTCATGTAGAAGGAAGAAGGAAACTTGCAGAGACGAGAGGAGTCAGAGCTGTGTGGAGCTGCCTATGAGGGAAGGAGTGAGAGTTGTCAGAAAGAAGTACACTGAAAAGAAGGCATGTAAAGTTTTTAATAAAGGACTGGTGATGATGCCAGTCACATCTGTCTGGACACAATTGCAGCAGTCAGGCTCTGGAATGAGCTGCTCCTGGGAGGCAGCAGGACTGCTGCACAAACCCATTGCTGTATCAAGTGATTCAAGAACGTGGGAAGTCTGTCTGAAGCTTGTTTAAACAAATACTTGAAACCTTTCCATATATTTTTACTAAAAGCTGGGTTTTTGGAAGGAAACTGATTATTTACTAAGTTTCCCATCCCTGGGTTTTGTTTGACTGCTGTGAGCCATAAGGATACTGATAACATGGTATTAATTACATGTTTTACTTCTAAAACTAATTCTGCTCTGCACGTCTTCAGTGCATTGGAAGAACTTGACCCCTGTCTGTAAAATGAAGATAATGATGCTGCTCTGCTCAGCATAGTTATCAAAAGGTATCTGAATATGCATAAAAAAAGATGGTAGCTGAAAAAGAAGCTTAAAAAAGTTAAGGTGTGCCTATATGTCATGTAGATAATCAGGAGAATTTCTGCACTTGGTTTGAGTGGGAGTGTGATAGCCACACATTGCCATAGCAGGGGAGCTGGAAATTAGGTGAGGTGCTTTCAGAGAACTCTCTCAAATTCTATTTTCTATTAGGTGGTAAAGCTGATGCATTTGGGCACAGAGAGCCTTGCCAGGTTCCTGGCAGGGGACTGTTTCTTCACACATCTTTGAGTGCACAGCCACTTAGTAACTTGCTAGGCTAAAATGCTTTCTCCCATCAAAAGCTTAGAGCTTTGTGTTGTTGGTTGTTTTTTTTTTTTTTTTTTTTTTTTTTTTTTTTTTTTTTTTTTTTTAGAGACTGTGTAAGTGTGCTGGAAAATATCACCAGTAGCTGTGATTCAAGTGAAATTCCTGCTGCTAATTACACTGGCTTTTTGCTAAAAGTAGTAAATAGAAATCATTCATGGGTCCTTAGAGGCCTCAAAATCATTCAGTATTCAGGGTAAATATATCAGGGAGCTTCATAAGAGAATAATTTTAAAACAAAGCCTGGTCAGCTCTTTAATAATTTACTGATTGTGATAGGAAGGAGAATATCTAATAACTAGCAAGATTGGCTTTCAAGTAGAAAATAAATTAGTGTTAGAGGAGTGTTTTTTCAAAGAATCATAATTACTATTAGAGAAACATTTGGTTATCATATCAGTTCTTGATTGCTTTACAAGCACTTACTGAGGCAAAGGCACTTTATGTGATTGTTTAGGAAGCTGCAAAGACAGATTTATTCACATGATGCTTGTCTGAAGGAGGGAGCTCTCCACAGCCTGATCAAGTCCAGTCTGAAAATGCTGCAAGTGGTCCACGAGAAGGATTTTGTATCTGATGGCCACCTCTGTTCACTGGTCTGCCATGGGACGGGATGCTCCTGGACTCACAAAGATATTCCAAGGACTGGAACACCTAGGAGGCCTGGGGTTACTCAGTCAGGAGAAGAGAAAGGTCCAGAAGACTTCAGAGCCCCTTTAGGGTCTAAGGGGGCTCCAGGAGAGCTGGAGAGGGGCTCTGGAGGGACAGGACAAGGGGGAACAGCTTCAAATTGAAAGAGATTTGACTTAGATTGAATTTTGGGAAGAAATCCTTCCCTGTGAGGGTGGGCAGGGCTGGCACAGGGTGCCCAGAGCAGCTGTGGCTGCCCCTGGATCCCTGGCAGTGCCCAAGGCCAGGTTGGACATTGGGGTTGGAGCAGCCTGGGACAGTGGGAGGTGTCCCTGCCATGGCAGGGGTGGGACAAGAAGAGCTTTAAGTTTCCTTCCAACCCAACCCATTCTGGGATTCTGTGACTTTGGCCAGATGTCACCCACTGAGTTTTATTTCTAAAAGTTGAAATTAGGGTAGCTATAGGAATTCAGTGAGGGAATACAGGCTTGCACAGAAAGGCAAGTTCTAGGTGTAGGGTAACTTGCTATAACTATGGCAAACCCAGATTACAGCCTGTAGGAGAACATTAATGAGAAAATAGAAACGTGAGCTGTCCTTGCATCCATCCCCCAGGATTTGGGTCTGGTTTGGTCCAAGACACCCAAAGAGTGGGGCCACTGAAATGGCAGGACCAGGGGGTTTGGTGAACTTGGCTTTATGGAAGGTTTCAGGCTCCTGAAAAAAGAAGATGAAGAACCACCACGTAGGAAATGTAGGGGGGAGGCCTTGCAGCCTTGTGCAAGTCATGAGGGTGTCCACAAATGTTAATCGTTCACCTAAACACCCTGAGATGGACTGTGCCATGGGATGGCCAAAGGAGGAGGGAAAGTTGAATTGAATAGTGAAGGAATGGGTGGGTGAGGTTTTGTTTCCTACAGGTCCTTTGTCCTTAACACCATGTTTGCCTGAGGAGGAGTTTGCTCCTTTGTTTCCCAAGCTGCTAAAGCTCTGCTGTGTGACTCTGTGTTCCTTCCTCCTCTGCTAATGACTGTTAATGACACAGCACCGAGAGGAAAATATGGCCTTAATGAACCCTGATGAATGGCTATGTCTTAAAAAGGAATTAAGTGATATTTTTTGAGGGGGGGAGAGTGAAGATACATTAATTCTAATTACTTTTATTTTATGGCACTCTATATTTTCCAAATAACTGATAAAGTTTATGCTTGGCTGTAACGCTGCAGTAAATTCCTAACAAAAAAAAATTTGTTATCATTATGTTAGCTTATAAATTTCTCTGTAGATATTATTAGATAGGCTTCATGAGCAATCCATTAAAAAGGGGAGCTGTAGAATTTGCAAGTTTTCCATGTAGTTTACTTGAAAACGTCCATGTTTTCCTGAATGAGTGCATAATGGATGTGACTCTTTAGTCACAATTCATTGGCACATTGCAGGGGCTGGTGCTCTGCGTGCTGTGCAGAAGAAGAAAGGCTTCCACCTCCTGCCAATGCTCAGCTGCTTTCTTTATGTGGGCTCAAATCCCCTGGGTACAGCTCATGAGAAGAAGGGAACAATTTATGGTTTACTCTGAGCTAATCCACATCGTCATAAATTTTAACAGGACTGGTTTACTTTTAAAGTAATTCCTGATGTTTTAGGCCTCTTGCACTATCTGGAGAAGTTCCAATCACAGAATTGCTGAGGTTAGAAATGACTTTTAAAGATCATTAAGTCTAACTGTGTCAACACAGCAGCACCACCATGTTCCACTAATCCATGTCCTCCGTGCCACATCCACAGGATTTTTGGAACACTTGCAGGGATGGTGACTCCCCCACTTCCTGGGCAGCCCATTCCAATGCCTGGCTACCCTGTCGATGCAGAAACTTTTCCTCCTTATCTCTACTCTGTACTTCTGGATTACATCCACATAGTGACAGGTTCTGCTTTTAGATCTGCAAAAGAGAAGTGAAAACCCTGCTGTAGGTTCATACACACTGCATACACGTGTATGGAGCGCTGAACATTTCTGGCTTTTCCTTTCTGACAAACTGTGCTTTCCAAAGTTTCCCAATCTGGAGTGCTTGAGACAACTCTGCCATTTCTCATTGATTAACCTAAACGGCTTATACTTGTGCGGTTTTTGTTTTTTTTTTTTTTTTTTTTTTTTTTTTTTTCTTTTTGTTTGCTTAGTTTGCTTGGTTTTTTTGTTGTAGTTGTTTTGTGTTTTTAATGTACCTTGTAGAACCTTAGCTTCCAAATCAGGATTCTGTGGTTTCTGGGAAGGAAGACAGAGTGAGACAGTGGAAGAAATGTCTGTGATTTGTTATACTGAGCTTAATTTATTTTGGGAGAAAAATGACTTTCAGATATGCTAGCTGGAGTTAAACTTGTCATAGTTGTCTATTCTTCCTTCTACCCCTAAAAAAAGAAGAGATTTCTAAAAGTTTTTAGAATTAGTATTTTTTTTTTTCATTCATGCTATTGCCTGTTCCAGAAACTGCACTTGGAGTAATCTTTAACTGGAATGCTCCCTTCTTTACAGCTGTCAAATACAGTAGCTATTTCTGAATCCCAATAGATACAAAGATAGAATATCACTTTCAGATGTTTTGCTGAGGTTTCCTATTGCAAGTAGAATCTGAGTTAAGTAGCAACAAATTTATGTCCCCTGCCTGGAAGAGCTGTACTGTTCCTTGTGGCTGATGAAAAAGCACTTAGCTCCCCTTTTTCAA